GAAATGACAAGATATAATCTGAAAACAAGAATTCATACATATATTTTGTAGTCTTCCCTTTTCTTCCTGCTATAGCAATATATTAGGTTACTGTGAGGCTTGGGGTCACCACCCAGCATCTCTGAGCCTAACCTTGAAAAACGTAACGGTGGATTTACAGTAAACCCTGTGGCCTCAAAATATGAGAGCGAGAGTTTAAAATCTTGCCCATAACCTCCTGTTTGCAGACACTTAAGAGGAATGTCTGTCCTAGTTGCTCCCTGTTCCTCTTGGAAGTAGGCATGGCTACCCTGCTTAATACTGTGCTCCCTAGATATGGTCTGCCTCATACAGAACAAGCCCAGGAAGAATGGCTGCAGCATCCCCATTAACAGGACAATCAGGCTGTCTAAGCTCTTCATATGGCCTAGGCTGGTTCCCACAGTAGATGATAAGCCAGGCTCCTAGCTACAGTCCTTCTGTAGAAGCAAAGTTCAGCTCACAGATCATTCCTTTCACATATGCAATATCAGATTGAATTTTGAGAACTCTAACTTCAGAGCTGCCCTATCCAATTTTCCAATTTGAATTATATTGTCAAATATGTCTGGGTCTTCCTAAAAAAAAAAAAAAAAAGCTTAAGAACTTTTTGATGGGCGGATGGGAGTTTAACCAGAGGGCAACATACATTATCTTTGCTTTTGTGGATTTTTAATGCAGCCACAGAACCTCCAAAGGTGTTGAAGAACATAAGTGTCCACACAATTGCATCCCTAGATATTTGCATGTGTTGTATAAGTGACTCACACAGCTGTACGGGACTCCTCTAGTGCAGCAGCTCTCCAAATAGAGATGCAGCCGAAACACAAATCAAATACAGTTCAGGCACTGTAGAACTGTACACTTCAGGTCAGTGGAAAGCTACAAAATCTCCATTTACTGTTTCTAAGGGCCAGCATATTGCAGCATGTCGTTAACTTCAGATTAGCAGTCCCTTGAAATGTACACCATTTATTACCAATTGCAATAAATAAAACTGAAAATGTAAGTGCTCTGAAAACAGATTGAAAGATTCAAGAAGATTGAAAGGGGGAAATATAGCTTTCACAAATGCATCCTATTACAAGAAAAATGGCCTTGCCCTCAATTTAACATTGAACAATGTATAATTGCATATGTAAGGTTAATTCCAAGGCAGCAAACCAAGTCAATGGAAAGCTGAAAGCACTAAGGAAAGAGAGATTAGAGACTATTTCCAATTAAATATTAAGGATAGGGAAGAATAAGCAAAACAGAAAACAAAACCCAGTTGCCTTATCCAGTAGCTGACTCTCATCGTTTCATGCACGTGAATGGAACATGTATTCCCCAGTTGTTTTTATTGTTTCTTAACCTAGTAGGGTTTTTGAAAGGACTAGGAAGAAACTTCTCCACTGAATAACTAGTGCCTTTTGCATGCATTATTTGGACTAAATGAGCTAATGAGCTTGGAAGAATCATAGAATTGTAGAGTTGGAGGGGGCTACAAGGATAATCTAGTCCAACCCCCTACAATGCAGAAATCTTTCACCCAACATGGGTCTCAAACCCACGTTCCTGAGATTAAGAGTCTCACGCTCTACTAACCAAGTTATCCTAGAGCCTTCGCTACATAAGGTACATGTATAGAACTGGCAGGTAGGGCCCTTGCATGAGTCAATTCACATGGCAATATGAATCAGATATCATCTGTTAAAGAGGTACTGTTAGGAATGGTTTGGATACATCGTCTTACCCATTCCTGTCATAGCATTCAGATGCCATGGCTCAGGTGGAAAGCGCAACACTCTGTTGTAAAATATGTACACCAGCTGCCACTGAAGTCATCGCACTGAATTAAGTATACAGGTTCTACAAAGATATGGATTAAAACCGAAAGACATCCATAAGTTTCTCCTTCTTCACCAGATTTTATGTTTGGATGGATATGTGTGAAGTGGGCTGGAGCATGTGCATCAGATATTACTTTAGCTGACAAGAACAAGCCTTCCACCGAAGCCTTGGATGGATGCAGAGCTGCAAAACCACTAGGTGTTTGGTTACCCAGGAATTTAGTACTTTGACACTGGTGGCTAAGAATTTGAAGTATTTGTCAAACCCTGTTTGAAGTGAGAGTACGTGTGCGCATGTGTGTTGTATCTGGATTTTTTTCTTTTTCTTTTGGTTAACTACAGCTCTGAAGAAACTCTGCAAACCCAGAAGCCTGGGAGTGATTTCTTTTGTGTGTGAACTGCCTTTTGTATTTCAGCTGCTGGAATTAAACCGAAGTGGCAGCTAATAACATCATAAGAAAATAATATGATTGTTGATCGTTCCTTCTAGAGACTTATAAATTGGGTGAAAGGATGTGGAGGAGGAGAAATAACAGAGGCACAAAGTGTTGTGCTTGCCAAATATAAATACATTATTCTTGCTGCATATCATGCTAGCCCTATTATTAATAGAAGGAAAAAATAACATTTATAATAACTTCTGTAATGAAGGGCTTCATGGGCCTCCATACATTAGTAATCGTTTGCCTTTTGCTGGGAACTCTAATGCTTATCACTGATGTAGTGCTTTGACTACACAATCCTATGTGTGTCTACTCAAAAGTAAGCCCTGTTGAATTCAGTGGAGCTTTCTCTCAGGTAGTATGTATAGGATTACAGCCTAAACTCACAATCTTATGAATTCTCACAACATCCCTGTGAATGAAGCAAGGTGTTGGGTTTAGACCGAGGGTTGTTAAATTCAGATCAAAATATTTAGTTGTTGTTGAGACAAATAAGCTAAAATAATGTAAGGCACCCTTACATGCTGTATTCTAGATACAGAAATAATAATTAAAAGAGCGCTGTGACATCCTTGAGTCTGCTTTATTTCTTTATTCTAAGTATTTTTCTACCACCTCAGGGCAGTTTACAAAGGAATAACGCAATAAAAATGTAAATAGATTAAAAAAAACCATGCACAAAATTATGAAAGATTCATAAAACAGAATGATTATAATTGCATCTAAAAATAAATATAATAGGACTGAGACTCTTGTAGGTAAGAGCAAGGCTGGTGTCAAGACCAATATGCAGCATTTCAAAATGTGAGTCTGCCTAGTCTTACTGTTTAAACAAAGATCATTGACATCATGTCTGCACTTCAGCACTCTATTGGCTGAATTGTAGAGTTGGAAGGGAACCCAAGAGTCATCTAGTTCAACCCCCAGCAATTCAGGAATCTCAACTAAAGCATCCATGACAGATGGCCATCCAACCTCTGCTTTAAAACTTCCAATGAAGGAGAGTCCACCACCTCCCGAGGAAGTCTGTTCACTGTTGAACAGCTCTCATTGTCAGAAAGTTCTTTCTGATGTTTAGTCAGAATCTTTTTCTTGTAACTTTAAGCCATTGGTTCAGGTCATACCCTCCTGAGGGGGAGAAAACAAGGTTGCTTCATCTTCCATTTGATAGCCCTTTAGATATTTGAAGATGACTATCATAGCTCCACTCAGTCTCCTCTTTACCAGGCTACACATGCCCAACTCCCTCAGCTGTTCCTCATAAGCATGGGTAGGCAAACTAAGGCCCAATCGCCTTCTAAATCCAGCCCACAGACGGTCTGGGAATCAGCATGTTTTTACATTAGAATGTGTCCTTTTATTTAAAATGCATCTCTGGGTTATTTGTGGAGCCTGCCTGGTGTTTTTACATCAGTAGAATGTGTGCTTTTATTTAAAATGCATCTCTGGGTTATTTGTGGGGCATAGGAATTCATTCTTTCCCCCCTAAAAATATAGTCCAGCCCCCTACAAGGTCTGAGGGACAGTGGACCAGCTCCCTGCTGAAAAAGTTTGCTGACCGCTGATAAGCCTTGGTTTCCAAACCATCTTGGTTGCCCTCCCCTACACACATTCCAGCTTGTCAATATCCATCTTAAATTGTGGTGCCCCAAACTGGACACATCACTCCAGGTGGGGTCTGACCAAGGCAGGATAGAGTGGTACTATTACATCCTTTGATCTGGAGACCATACTTCTATTGATGCAACCTAGAATAGCATTAGCTTTTTTTGCAGCTTGATCACACTGTTGACTCATATTAAGCTTGTGGTCTACTAAGACCCCCTAGATCCTTTTCACATGTGCTGGCAAGCCCGGTTGAGCACCTTCAAAATGAACAGCTTTTTAATGATTTAACACCAGCAGTGGGATGATTTGAAAGGGTATAGGCCCATCCAAACTCATATAAGACAGGCACAAGTCAAGAGAGCATTCCCAGTTTGAATAGCTTACCATTTAAATTCCCACAACTGTTCCACACTAGGAGGCTGTTAATACAAATCTCAGAGATGTAAAGGTCTGTTAATGAAGATAAGTTAAAAACTGTATGACTCTCAGATTTATAGGGAGGGTAAAATTAAATGCTACCACTAAAACCTGCTATAACAAAATCTCGTTAGTGTTAATGTTCATTTATGGTTTGACTTCCCCAAATTTAATTCACCCCTCCTTTTTGGTGCATTTGTGGGACTGACAATTTAAGATCTTGAAAGATGATTTTATGACTTGTTCTGCTGTAAATCAAACTTTTAAAGTTCATAAAAATGGTTAAAATAAAAAATGGTTTAATATGAATGTTTTATGGTCCATAACATTATTATAGCTGTTTTATTCCCAGTGCGTTATTGCTTTAATTGGGTTGCTACAATTCTTGGGAATCTCAATTTTTATTGGAGTAAATGTAATCCTAAATCAAATGACCAAGAATGCCCTCAATATGTTTCCCCAGCTCCATTCTCAGTCGTTTTCTTCAGGGATAGAACAAACCAACAAGGGAAATATATCCTTTGTTTTCTCATTGGTCCTCTGGCACCATGTGCCGTTCCATATGTTTCTGCCAAACTTTCACTGTTCTTAGCTAGCTGGACTCTGTGAACATCTTTTAGGGCAGAATTTATTTACAATATTCCATTGCTTGCTTATCTTTTGTGCTCCTTTCTCCCAACAGGTGTCTGATCGCTCTGTAGTGGCCCTCGTTCCCAAGCAGACCTCATCCTACAACATTCCCGCTTCTGCCAGCATATCACGGACCTCAATTAGCAGATATGGTAAGAAGCAAAGTGATGTGATGTAAACTTTCCTTGAATTTCCAGATTAGTGGTCTAATCAGCTAATTGTGCCAGCAAGCTTATTAGAGTTCTTACCTCTGGCTCTGAGGCATGGAACATGCTATCTTTTTATTTTTTGTATACAAAAAATCACTGGGTGCAGTCCAAAGCTGTACAGTAACTTTGATGCACACACAGATCACATCACATACCAGGACTGCCCCTTTCTGTCTTTCAGGGCTTGTCCACACCTCTGTTTGCCTTGCCACTGTCTACCAGGAAAACCAGAGTTTACTGCTGAATCAGACCAAATGTCAATCGGATTTTCTATGGATTGCTGTTTGTTCTGATTCAGCTGTAAACAGCGTGTTTTGCAGGGGAAAGCTGCAGGGCAAATGCAAAACTGCTGGGACCTGTGCTTTCTAGGCACGGGACAAAGGAAGTGTGGGAGAGCCCTGAGTTATGAGTTGCTGTGCCTATGAAATGGAACTATCTGTGTGTATACCAGAACTAGAAGCATTCTCTTAAAGCAGTTACTCCTACAGAGCTGCTGTTTCTTCAATGCTCTATTTGAAATTTGTTGCAATGGGTGCTAATTTCAAATATCCAGGGTTCTCAGATGTCCCCACTGAAATTATCACAAAATTAACCAATTTGGTAAGAAATTAGGCCGTCCGGCAAAGGACCTATTCAGATGTTATCCTTTTGATGTGTGCATCAAAACTTGTGCAATTCAGCATTCCCGACCCTGCTGTCCTCTGGATGTTCTGAGCATCAACCCTGGCCATTTGCCATGGCCATGGGTTGGGCTGCTGGGAGATGTGGTCAAAAACATCTAGAGGGCACCAGGGTGGTACTGTACACCTAAAATGTAATTTGTGACTAGACCGTGGCTGTTTGGGAAATGGCTGTGTCTATTATTCTCACGTTTTGGTTTGGGGAAGAAATCAGTGGGTAATTTTGACTCAGCCCTAAAGTGGAAACTTGTGTATCCTCAAAGAGCCGTATTGATTATAGTTTGCTCTCAAGTGTGCACTCAGTCATTAACCCAGATATGCTGCTGTTTTGTTTGCAAGATACCAAAGAACTACATATTGCAGTAAAATGAGCTGCATGCCTATCCATTTTTAGAAAAGTTGAATAAATTATAATTGGTTATTGGTTATCTTTTTCTTGCAAGATAATTAATTATAATTTGGGCTTTATTATATTGCTTTGTTATTTGCTATCATTTATTCTCCTAATTTCCTTATGGCAATTATAAAAGGAATGTTGGGAGGTGATCAAGTCCTGATTGTGGAGGGCACAACTGTTTTATCAAAGAATCAAACTGGGATTGAAATTAAATAACAAATTTGAGAATTTGGACATATTTATTTTTGCCATCTGTTTCTGGCAAAAGTTTGTGTTGAATGAAATAATTGCTGTACATTTTTCTGTAACAAAAATGCTGAGATGTTTTGCTGAAGTTACAAGTGAAATGGATTTTCAGCTCTTTCATTCTGCTGGCTAGTTTGTGAGGAAAAGGTCTAAGTACCACCGACCTCTATTCATAAAAATTCCAAAATATTTATTTCAAAACACCAAATGAAAACTATGAAGGGAATACTTTGTAGAGACAGCACCATTACAACTATCTGCAACAACTTATCTCTGCTTGCAATTAACTGGGTTTGCATCCACACTATACCTGTAAGGCACATTCTTTCCCTCAAAGAATTCTGGGCCCTGTAGTTTACCCTCCACAGAGTTACAATTCCCAGCAACCCTTAACAGTGCCCAGAGTTCTTTGAGGGGGGAATGCTTTGAATATGCTTTAAAGTTATGGTGTGTAAAGGTAAAAGGTAGGTAAAGGACCCCTGGATGGTTAAGTCCAGTCAAAGGCAACTATGGGGTTGCAGCGCTCATCTCGCTTTCAGGCCGAGGGAGCCGGCATTTGTCCACAGACAGCTTTCCGGGTCATGTGGCCAGCATGACTAAATCGCTTCTGGCGCAACGGAACACTGTGACGGAAACCAGAGCGCACGGAAATGCCGTTTACCTTCCTGCCACAGCGGTACCTATTTATCTACTTGCACTGGCGTGCTTTCGAACTGCTAGGTTGGCAGGAGCTGGGACAGAGCAACAGGAGCTCACTCCGTTGTGGAGATTCGAACCGCCGACCTTCCAATCGGCAATCCCAAGAAGGCTCAGTGGTTTAGACCACAGTATAAAGCCCTTTTGAGAGTTCTTCTGGGCAAGGACCCCTGATATGGAGGATAGAACTCAAGCTGTATTCAAGCAATATCAATATTGAGCTATTCAGAGTCAGAAGTTGCCATTAGAGCATTTGCACACTAAGTCTCCACAGTTGTTGCTAATATTGATATTGATATCTCTGATTGCGCAGATGGCATGCAAATGAAGCCCTATTTACTCTCTCTGCATTTGCATTATGTATTGGTGCAAAGCTAGATCTAAAAATAGAATGATTCAGTGCTCTCACCCCTTAATTACATCCACAGGAATATTCATATTTATCTGAGCATTAATCAAGAGTGAAGCTTCAGAAAATTTTGTAATGATTCACTCACTCGCCTCCTAATTTATGGGGATCCCTTTAATCCTACTGTCACCCAGAAGGGAAGAACAGCAAATTAAGAAACTAGCCTGAGCTGGTCATAGCAAAACAAGGATTTGCTTAAAAACAAGGCATAAGAAATATCAAACAGACGGACAGTGGCTAGTCTAGCTTTCATCTACTGCCAAAACAAAACAAAACCCTGTTCCAATCCCCTGGTGAATAATAGTAGACTCCTCACATGGCATGGGCAGATACTGCACAATTTGTCATCTTACATTAAGCTGCTACTGTGTGTAGTAGCTATAGTAGCCAAGATTACTTAGGTTTAGAAGGTTTTGTTTTCAATTCTAACTGGATGGCGACTGTGTTTCACCTAATCAGTTCTTTTATCCAAGGTCGTGTGGTTGCACATAATGGTGCCCATATCCATCATAAAGTACAAAAAATATCTGGCGTATTTTGCAATAGAATGGCAGACTGTTTGTGAAAGACTGTGGCTTGATAGTGTGTTCACATTTTCACTGCTCTTTAAATAAGCCACTAAAGTTGCCTTCACTGTTAGAAAATTGTGGACGAAGTAAGACAGAGATATAACCAAGCCTGTTTTCCTTTTGTGCATCACCAGCTTCTTTTTCCTCCTGCCCAGATTCCACATTTCGGTACACAGGCAGCCCAGACAGTCTCCGTTCCAGGGCTCCCATGATTACCCCAGACCTAGAGAGTGGGGTGAAAGTCTGGCACTTAGTCAAGAACCATGACCACGGTGACCAGAAGGAAGGTGATCGGGGCAGTAAGATGGTGTCAGAGATCTACCTGACAAGGCTGCTTGCTACAAAGGTAATATCAATTTCTGTTGCAAAGCTCCCAAAGCACCGTCCATGCAAAACTGTGCTATATTAACCAGTAATGTTAACAAAGAAACATCAAAATCTGTTTGGGAAGCAGCATATTAACTGGCCACCTGTAGAGCTTTGTGAAAATGAGACCATTGTTCTCATTATGCTTTTGGGTTGCTGATGAACAGGTGAAAAAGCAACCCTCTTGCACCTTAAAGCTTCTTGCACCTTAAATGTCACCCCAGGGTCCCATATTTTATTAATACTTGACTGGCTGGTCCAGCACCAGAGTTTTGATCCTGTATCTCTTTTTCATCAGTGCATGAAGCAATGGTAAGACACAAGTGAGTTAATATTATTATTCTTCCGGGGCAGTCGCACGTGATCTCACTTCCAATACTTTTTGCAAAAGTTTTGGAATGATCACACTGCTTCATTTCCAATCAGTGTCTATCCTGTAACTTCATGCTGAAAACCTGTAACTTTTTATATTGCATATATTCTGGTTTGCTTTTATCCTGCTTTTGTTGCAGACAGCAATGGGGAAGCACCTAAAATGCCAAACCACATATATTGGACTATTATTGTATCAATAACATGCTGTAGAATACACCTGCAATTAAACACCAGTTTGGATAATATATATAAATTTTTGTGCTTTCTTTTAACGTTTTTATTTGCCGCATTCTGGGATTGTTTGTAACAATGAAGACTGAGTGGCACATATATTTAAAATAACTATCAGTTAATAATAGCAGGGGCAGCTTTACAGTCTGTAAATGAGTCTGTGAAGTTACTGAGGCTGGTTCAGCTCAGCCCTGCCTATCCTAATACTGTCCTGCAACTGCCTCTGCTGATGATTTGAGGCCAAATACCCTCACACTCTCGTCTCTGCTCCCATCAGGGTACGCTGCAAAAGTTTGTGGATGACTTGTTCGAGACCTTGTTCAGCACTGTGCACCGAGGCAGCGCTCTCCCACTGGCCATCAAATATATGTTTGATTTCTTGGATGAGCAAGCGGATAAGCACGGCATCCACGACACTGACGTGAGGCACACATGGAAGAGCAACTGGTGAGAGGGGTCAAAGTTTATGAGTGTGGACAAAAATTGCTGAGATACGGGAATGTGTAAGCCCTTGTGGTCAGAGCAGGGTTTGTCTCATTCAGTTGGAGGCCTCCTGAGCCTATCACAGAACTGTCTAGATCATGTCCAGCTTGCTTTCTGAAGGCAAACACAGTTTCGGATTCTCCATATTGCTCTAAAAGTAGACGGAGCCATTTTTTTACTTGTGAACTAGCATGTTTTGTTGCATTTCGTGGGGCCTTAGGCATACATTTTTCACAAGGAGAAATCCTTCTGCCAGCAGATCTATTTAGTTGGATACCGACCATTGATTTGAGATGCCTGAAACACCCATGTAGGTTTAACAGGGTAGCTCTGCTCCTGACTCAGCCATTTCATGCTGCTTTGCTACCCTCCCTCAGCCCTATTCATTCCATTCAATCCATCATGCATATGTGTAAACTCAGTCTTGATTTGAGTCACCGATGCTCTAGCCCAGCCATTTGAGTTCCAATGACCCAACAACAGCTATGCCAGCACAGCCCCACGGTGCCTTGCAGAAGCTTACATGGTGCCACAGAAGAAGTCTATATAGCAGAGTCTTCCACAAGGCAGTCCCCTTCCTCCTTAATTTAAAATCATAATCTCTTACTTTTTAAAATGGGAAACATCAGTAGGGCTGCCATACGTCTGGGTTTTCCTGGACACGTCCAGGAATTCAGCTGGAAAATGGCGTCCAGGCAGATTTTCAGCAAATCGGAAAAATGTCTGGGAAGACCCAGATATATGGCAAGATGGGTTAAAATTTTTATAAAAAAAATCCTTTAAAAATTCAGGTGTGAAGCAGGGCCAGTGAGGGGTGTGGTCTGGGGACAGTTCTGAGGACCAGATAGAAAGGCCCAGAGGCCCCAGGCCTGAGGTCTGCCCCCTCCCCCACTCTAGGAGAAGCAGGTAATATATGTGAGCAAGAGGAGTATAGCTGTGCTTCTTGAAAGGAATGAGAAGGGGGAAAGGAAAGGGAAAGGACTTTGTATCACAGGAAATAGCCACCAGGGAAGCTGCAAACCACCTCTGGTATGAGTTGGAGATAATAAAAAGATAAAACCAAGGCAGAATATGCTCTCCTTGATGCTGGGCATTTCTGGGCAAACCTGATGCTGGGCATTTCTGGGCAAACCTGAACTGTATTGAATTGCCTTGTTCAAATTCATAGTGCAGTGGAGCAGGGGCAGCCAAGGGAAGGCAAATTCAGAGACTCAGATTAAAGTCTGTTCATTGTCTAAAAGCCTTTCAAGCTTGAAACAAACAAAAGAAATAGTTCTCCTGAAAATTCTTATTTGGTTACTCCTGAAAAAGAAAGTGGATTTCATTGTGCTCAGATCCATTTCTAACTAGGTACTTATTCTTACTGGAAGTATTTAAGTAGAGTTGCTGATTCTTTTCCTGTTCAGCTCTTTTTTTCTAATATTTTATGCAGCTTTATAGTTGTAGCACCATCTGCTTCCCTCGGACAACAATACAAATTACGTCCTTGGTGTCTTGTGCAGAATTTACTGTGTTTAAAACTATTTCTCTAGCACAGAATGATCAGATTTGCTTAAAGAGCAGTCACATAAAAACCTGCCAGCCTCCCTATCAGATCAGCACCAAAGCTACCAAAAAGAAATACAATTTCAATTTGTGGTCTGCTGGCCTGTCAATACTCGCATAGCCACAACCCATATTCTGGTTGATGGCCACACTGGCAGAAACCTAAGCTGACAGTAGCCTAGTTCATCTGAAGCTGTAGTGACCATTTGCTCAACAACCAATATGGAGAAGTAGCTGAATCAGGAATGATTTTCAATGTTTGAAGTAATGAAAATAGACTTCTGAGGCTTTCAGGACTAAAGGTACAATAAAGGACACACTTATTTCTACTCCATCCAGCAGAGGGCCCTGCTTCACCAGATTCACTATTTTGTTCTTGACAATGATAAAACCCTAACACTTCAAAGAAAGCACAAGATTTGTATTAGGAAAGTGTGGAATAATTTGACCTCAACGTCGCTCAGTATATAGCCATTTATTTTCAGGACAGAGGCTTGGGATTGATTCCTACCTGTCTCTCTTTAATTATTCCAGCCTTATTAATTATTCCATTACTTGATAGTGTTATCACATCTAGAGCTGATTGAGTGATGCTCTCTCAGTCAGCAGAGCCAGAAACACAATCCATGTTTGCTGAATTTGCAGAGAGGCACCTAAAGGGCAAAGGCAGCGTTCTCCACTTTATCACTGAGAAGAGGTGACAGGTTTTGGAAAAGGCTGGACAGAAGCTGAGGAGGGGAAGCCAACATGAAGTCACCCTAAAAGTGCAGTTGTAGCTAAGACCAGGGAAGGCCCGGAGCTCAGTGGAAGAGCATCTGCTTTGCATGCAGGAGGTCTCAGGTTCAATCTCCAGGTAGGGTTAGGGGAGATCTGTATCTGAGATCGCAGAGAGCCACTGCCAGTCAGTGTAGAGTAGACTATAGACAGAACTCAACTATATGGACCAAGGGTCTGAAGCCATATAAGGCAGCTTCTTATGTTCCTAAGACTCTGCCAAATGTTCATGAATTTCATAAGTCTCATTTTAAACCCTTATCACACCCCTGTACTTGTGGTAGGGTGGGGCAGGCTGTAACTATTTTGTAAATAAATTTTTATTGGTTTCCATAGATGCATTGCAAGAACTAAGTAGAGAAACTAAACATTAGCATAACAATTACTTGGTTGCTGGTGAGATCCCAAGGGGGAAGCCTGTTATTATTAACATGCATGTTTGAGAGCTTCCCCACTCTGCAGTTTGTCTGTCCAAACCCCCCAAACCTTAAAAATGAACTTTTAGGAGATGAAAGAAAAGTCTCAAAGGGGCTATTGGAAGTAGAACAAAAACAACCTGTAAGGATAGTTGTTACTTACCTTAGTTGTAACAACTACTTAGTTCAGTGGTTTCCAAACCCTTTTATTGCACACGAACCACTTGAAAATTGCTGAGGGTCTTGGAGGGCCACTTAATAATTTTTTCTGCCTTTTGTAGCAATTGTAATGTGCAATCGTATTTTTACAGACGCACTACAGATCACCTGAATGTGGTCCATGGACCAGTTAGGGAACTCCCGACTTAGTTTGAGCATCTAACAGATGTGACTGGTCAAGTACCCACTTCCCAAGTGTATTTGATGAGTTTCACCCAAAATCTTGCTTACGAGATAGGGTGTCTGAGAGGAGGTCATGCTTCAATCAAGTACAACTGATTCAAGCAGCAGTTTATTCCACACTTTCAGAACAATTGCTGCTTTTACATCTTTCTCTTGGCTTTTATTTTAGGATTAAGAATTCCCTGTGTTAGAAATTTACCATTGGAAGGAGAATAAAAGCTCATACGTATACCAAGCATGAACCCCCAGACAATGTGTGTGTTGTGTGTGTGTTCTTCAATCCCTTGTGGTTTGAAAAGCCTCTAATCATCCTGTCTGCCAAAGCCAGATTCCCTGCTAAGGCAGTAGGGAGCTAAAAACAATTTAACAGAAGCTTTAGAGGAATGAGTTATTAGGATAAAATGTTGGAATCTGGAATAAAATGACACATCTTAATGCTACCAAGTGGCGCTGATGAGTAGAGATTTCCACCCCCTGTGGCTGCCAGATCCCATGAGCCTTTAGTACAGAGAGATCCTCAACCATAGCTGATCTCTGCATACAGCAGCTGGGGTAGGGGAATCTTGAAAGGAGAGACAGACACTCCTGTGTCCAAATTCCAACCAGCATCCAAATCTTCCTCTTTCAACTGTGATCATGCAAACACAAAAAGCTGCATTACACTAAGTCAGATCATTGGTCCATTTAGCTCAGCAAAAGTGTCCACTCCCTCCCTGCCATCTGAGATATTTTAACTGGAAATACCAAAGATCGAACCTAGGGATAGATTAATCTCTTTCCAGCTCATGTCATTTTTGCATCTTTTTTAACCATACAGTAGTCCCATTCCATCTCTGCATTAATCTGTGAATACATGTCTTAATTGTGTCAAAATGCATCTTGAAATACATATTTCAATATCTATTTAATTGTGCAATTTCTCTCAAAACACATTGTTTTGATTTATCTCAAAATTTTATTTTGGTTTAAACCCCCCCCCCTATTTTGGTACGCTCAAACTGCTAAGAACTGTAGCACAACATTTGGAGAAGTGCACAGTGTATTGCATAGCTAGGTTCCAATCCACACATTAGTCCAAGAGGTCATTTGGTCAGGGCAATTTGGTACAGCAATTTGTGAAGACGGAATTCTTCAAATCATCTTAGTTGGGCCTTGGATTTTCTACATGCAAAGTTCGTATCCTGCGATTGACCTGTTGCCCTTTCCCGAGCACTCAGATCCTTCCACAGCTGGACTCAGGAAAAGGAAAGCAAGAACTTAATATTTATTTCATGGTTTTAATTTGTATGCCTGCCAGATTGCATATACTTGCAGGAAGCATTTCTGGAGTGGGCAAGTTCCCCTTTTTGACCTGCTTTTTGGCAGCTGCTGAATGATAAATTGAGGGGTTTTTTCCAATCCTCGCTGCCACCACACTGCCAGCAGCAACTTGCTTATGTGAGACAGAACTTGCCTCTTTCCAAATCTATCTAGTCCTTCTTAGTATCACCCCCCCCCCCAGTACATCTGCTACATTTGGAGCTGGCTGGTAATTACTGAAATCAAATAAATGTGCAGATTGAATTTAATGCAGAGGGTATCATAATTGATCTAGAAAGAAAAGCATGTTGTCCCAGGCCTTCCAAGAAAAAAAAACTTAAGATGCCTTGCACCTTTTCTATGGGATTCTCTTATGCCTCTTTTGGATTCGTTCATTCCCACAGCACATATACAGCCTGGCAAATAGTGCTATCTGCCAGGGGGAAGCAGTGCTGGTTTTACAAATGGGGAATCAAACTCACTGAGATTTAGGACCATGCCCGGCATTAGCAGCAGATTTTGGCAGTTGACCCAAGCTGCCCAGACTATTTAGTGCTAGAGCACCATCTTTTTTCTTTCCTGGGTGTTGTCGCTCCACTGAAGGAGGGGTTACTCTTATCCCCTGATTGTCCCGAAGAAAGAAAGATTTAAGCATTATAGTGTTTTGAAGATTGAGGTGTTTTACTGGTGCTGTGAAGGTCAGTCAGGAGAAGTGTTGAGTGAAGTAACTGAAAGTTACTGAAAGAACAAGGTTGGCAATTTGTTGGGAATTACACTCTTTTGCAGACTGGGAAATGCTTATTGGACAGAATCCAAGTTGGAACAGCAGAGAAACAATCTAGCTTAGCATTGGGTGCACACAGTAGTTCATCTTTATTAAAGCAGGATTCCCTGTCACACACTCAAAAGCTAGCAGGAAGTGGCAGCTTTGTTTTGATCCTGCCACAGAGGAAAGGTAATCATATATTACAGATGCCTAGGATTTAGAAGGAAAGCCTCTAACTCGCCGTCCAAGAGGACAGGGCAACAGGCTGTCACCCTCTGCTTTTTGTTGCAAGCATCTGGCAAAGCAGTAAGAAAATGGCTAAAAGTGCCTATGACTTTGTAGTGTGAAACTGACGCTGCAAGTCTTGAGCTGCATGAACAATTGGGAGAAGGGGTTCTAGAGATTTGTCAGAAACATGCCTCAGTGTTGCACCTCATCATGAACACAGTCAAAAGAAACCTGCCTGTTGTCATGTTCCACTGCTGACACAGTTTAAGGAAAGATGTAAGGAATTAGCCCCTGTGTATTAGTAAAATGCAGTGTGCAGGAGTTTAGCAGCCAGTCAAGTTTCCTCAAGAACTGCAGTGCTGTTTGTGACTTATTCCTGGTTCAGCTCATGTATTTATTTCTTATGTCTTTAACACAACTGATCTATTCACTATAGAACAGAAGCCCAGAGGCGAAATCTCCCTGGAGGAGGGAATCAAGCCCACAGTGGGCAGTAATTTCCCCTGGAGATTCATGATTCCTCTAGTACATTTTATCATTGTGTTTGTCAAACTGAACTGTTTTTTAAAAACTGGAAAACAACACATTTTCAAGCCCAACTATGACCCAAAATTGGGCATATGCTCTTAAGTCTGCATTGATATTATCAGAAGCATTGCAGAATCTAGCCTGTCCCTAAATAGATAGATACTCAGGATCACTACACTTTTCCCCCCAATCTTACCTTACCTGCTGACAGGTTTAGGCTTATTCAATTTATACTTCATTTCCCACTTTAAAAAATCTTGAAGTGATTTACAACCCAAGTAAAAAAAAAAAATTGCATAAACATTATTAAAAACAGATTTCACAGTACAATAGCATATAATTGCAGCCTAAATCTCCAGGAAAACATAAACATCTCTGCCTGACATCTGAAATGATGACAAGTTTGGCACCAGGGGAATTCCCTGGGGAAAGCATTTATTCTGGTCTGCCAGAGGGAAGGAAGCAACTCAGTTTTCCCTCCTGGCATAGAAACATGGGAAATAGCCCAATCTATTCTGACTTGAAGTGGCTCTCCAAGATCTGAGGCCATCCCTTGCTTAAGATTGAATCTGAGAGACTGAATACTGAGCTAAATTAAAAACCCATTCCCTAGAAATACTCAGTGGTTAAGCAGTAGTGGGCAGCATGGTGAAACGAATATGCATACCTGACCTCTCAGCAGGTGAGTCACTGCTGCTTACCAAGAGGGGCAAGGCAGCAGAGAGGGTAGCATAGTGCAAACACACTGGCAGGAGCACAGGGTTGGCTCAGCCAGTCATTTGCACTTCACCACCACCTCACCTCTCCTGGTAAGCAGCAGCGACTCATCTGCCAAGAGATTGGGTGAGCACCTCTGCCCTACCACACCACCTGCAGCTGTATTCAAGGCAAGAATTATAAGTCACCAAGTTTACTTTCTAGACCAAGGAATTATCAAGTATGGCAATATCACTAATTTTCTCCAGCAATGGATGAAAATAGCTGTTGACATGCCTAGGACCAGCCATTATTCACAAACTTCTGTAAAGAACATTTATGCAATCAAAATGTATAATTCTCTTTCTGAGGATGGTTACCTGGAGTTTGAAACAGATACTCATTTTTTAAAAAAATAGGAACACAGAGTTTTTGTTTTTTCTCAGAGGATAATGTTGGCCTTTATGAGCAAAAGAGACAAGCAAGTAAATGAACACAACACCGGCTCTCTTCAGATTAATTAAAAATTAAAGAGAAGGGCTGACACTCTCTTAAAAAAACTTATTGTGAGTTGGCTCTGGGTACATAGGATGAGCCTATTGGCACAATATATGCAACAGGAACCTATTAACATATTAAATGCAAACACATACCCATTTGGAGAGTAGCCATAGAACAGGATTTGCACAGAACTGGCTAGAAAACATAATCACTCTAGTGAGTGTTCAGCACACAAAAACAAAAAAACAACAGTGCAACAAGAAAATCGCTCAAATTTGATTTTGTGTACTTTTCCTAACATCTTACAGGAAAACGATTTTGAATTTGGCTGCAGTTTAGTTCCCATTGTAATCTGGTTCTGATTCTTTTTCTGTACTGCGTGGAGCCTTTCTTACTAAACATATACTCTTAATTTTTTGTGGGCATTGCATACTATTTTGTGAGGGAGAAAGGAAGGAAGGAAGGAGAAAGAAAGAAAGAAAGAAAGAAAGAAAGAAAGAAAGAAAGAAAGAAAAAGAAAATTTTGGTGAGAGAAGATATGTTATTCTCTTCCTTGAACTTGTAATGTGTGCTTATGTTTCTACAGCCTTCCCCTCCGTTTCTGGGTGAATGTAATTAAAAATCCACAGTTCGTCTTCGACATCCATAAGGGAAGTATCACAGATGCCTGCCTCTCAGTCGTGGCTCAGACCTTTATGGATTCTTGTTCCACCTCAGAGCACCGTCTGGGCAAGGACTCCCCCTCCAACAAGCTGCTCTATGCTAAGGACATACCCAGCTATAAAAGCTGGGTAGAGAGGTAAGTGGGGATCAATGAATGCCTACTATGTTGTGAGCTGCTTCCTCCAAATTTCTCCCAAGTATGCAGTTACTGTGGTACTTTCACTGAGAACTGCTGCATTGGGTTAGCACAGACAGAAAAGTGTTGTCTTCTTGTGTCATCAAATATCTATTTGCACATACTGGAAGTGTTGTAGTATTAACCACAGTGTCCTCTCCCATTCACGTTCTTGTTTTGCTTCCTAATGTACTTTCCTCTTTTTCTTTCAATTCATTCTAGTGCTGTTTTAGTTTTTGACTGAGCTTTCACTCTTTGATCATCAGTTGCTCTTCTCTCTTCTCAAGCTCCAAAAGTATTTCTACAAGTGGAGTTGCTTGTTTCGTTTTCCATTACTAAGTAATACAGGGTTGCTGTTTTTTCAGAAATAAGCAGTTGCTAGTTTTTATGTAATGCTGTTAACATGGCATGTGGCAACATATCCATTATTTGAAAAAATGCAACTTACTTTAAGCTTCTTTATAAACCCTACAAGACCTATCTGTCTAGCAATATACACATTCCTTTCTGTTTCCAAAGTACACCATTCTCATGTATTCCTTTCCATTTCTTTTGCAGGTATTATGCAGACATTGCAAAACTCCCAGCCATCAGTGACCAAGATATGAATGCCTACCTCGCAGAACAGTCACGCCTGCACTCTATTGATTTCAACATGCTGAGTGCACTCAATGAAATCTATTCCTATGTCAGCAAATACAGTGAGGAGGTGAGGAAACATTTCTTCCTTGGAGGGGCCCAAGGAACTATTTGTCTCTTGAGGCACCTGAGTGTTGTTGCCATAACTCGATGGATAAGACACACAAGGCCTATTCAGTTACTATTCAGTGGGGGGGGGCATAGTGGAATCATGTAGGGGGCACAAAGACATAAATGCTGTCCCTTCAACACCCCCACTACAACCCCACCAGCATCATTCCTGGTCTTTCCATGCTGAGCAGAAAGGCTTGAGGAAGGATATAAATACATTTGACTGAAGCTCTAAGGAGCCTGCTCACACTTCTATCCTGCAGCACATAGGACTAAGCAGTTGAACCACCTTTGGATTTCACACACACACCAACGCCGAAAAGAAAATATTTTGGATTGCAGCCTTAACAATTACAATATTAAATATTAGTAGTAACATTTCATAAACAGGGCACCACAGCTAAGAAGGCCCTCTCCCTAGTTGCTTTCAACTCAGCTGGTGAAGTCTATGTGCACAGTCAGGCTTGTACCTTGTCCCAAGCCATGAAGGGTTTAAAGGTTAGCACAAGCATATTGAATGATGCTCAGAAATAAGTCAGTGATCAGGAAGATAGGGTTGCGCTACGTCCTGAATTTCCCGGACATACTTGGAATACTGCAGTTGGAAGCAGTGTTCAGGCGGAAATCGTAAAATGTCCAGGAAAATCTGGCAATCTATGTCGGCAGTGTCGTTTTTGCCGACTTTCCTTAACAGTAGCTCCAAAATTACTTTTTGAAATATGGGAACTCTAGTGAAGATACTTAAGAAAAGAAATTGGTCCCGGTCAAAAGCCCTTCAGCTGTATTTGAACAGCAGACACACACACCCCGTTATCCCATATCAAAAGATGTGTTTGAAACACCCGAGTTTTAAAAACAGCTTGCCATTGTGGCATTTTGTCTGTGAAAGGTACATGTCCAGTTCTTGAGATTCTGGTCCCATATATCATAAACATATTCTTAGTGTAACTTGGAACCAAAAGAACCCAAACCATGCATGCTCCTAGTTTTTATGTATCACATCCTAATGGTTTAAAAACTAAACCGTTAAAAGCCTGGGGAAATAAAATGAATGGTGTCAAAAAGAGAGAAAGGTAAAGGACTCTTCCTGAATTCCATAAGCAGAATGTCACAACCAAGAAGTCCCTAATCACAGGCACCAATATAACATGGGCTAGTTTTTAATCTTGAAATCTAAAAGCAGTCATCTCTAAATTTCTATAAATGAGCTTGTAAATCCCTGTAGTATTGTAGATTTAAAACATGTGTTATAAAATAGCTTTATTGTGAAATGTGACGTAAAAACCCCCAAAACACCCTCTGAAGTGTTATTTGAGACCCATGATAATTTCTAGTTATCTTTGTCAGGTTGCCTCATTTGTGATTCTATCCACTATCTACCATTATCGAAATTTATTTCAAAAAGAATTGAATTAGTGACTACTCTTCATCATTATGTAATTACATCACAGTCGTCAGAGAAAGCAGAGTTGTGGTTTAAATGTTTATTTTAAAAAAGCTGCTTGAAAAGCCGAACTGCTCTCCAAATGCTTTCAAAAAAGCATTCTGACCTACGGTGCTGTCCCACCATCCCTTTCCCCCCAGAAATGAATAGTATGGCACAACTCAAACACAATCTATTTTGCAAAGTGTTGCTGGCAGCATGGGCTCTTCTGATGGATGCATCACTTGAAACCAAGTTCCCACCATCTGTTCAACCCTTTAATTTGCAGTGCAAGAAAAGCCTATTTTGCAATTACAACCATTAAAAGCAAGGCTTTTGTCATTTAATTGCATGTATAAGCGCGTGGTACTGTGCAGCAGCCATTTGCCGATTAGGGATGAGAACCTCATTACTTTCTTGTTAAATGATACAGGAAATGTAGCATCCAGAATATGATTGTGTTTTTTGCTGGTAATGTGCACCACTGTGATAACACAAAAATGCGTATGGGCTGGTGAAGGCAGTGGCACTCTGCTTTGCAGTCATTTTACCCTTAACCTTTTTCTTGGGGGGAAATACAGCTAAAGGCTAGGATTAGGTTGGTCATCTACCCTCATGCATCTTCCAAGCTCTCTAAAAAAAGTAACAGGTGTATATATATCGTAACTACTAACAAAGCTAGACTGAAATGTCAGAACATCACTCATGTGTATGTATCTGGTTGGCCACTGTGAAATCAAGGTGCTGGACTTCTGGTCCAGCAGAACTCCACTTTTGGTTTTATGTGTAATCCACAGAATAGAATCAACACAGTTTTCTTAGCAGAATATATATAAATACCAAAATCACCTAGATTGTCTAAAACCATTTCTTTGTTTCTATCTTTCCTTTTTTCCATCCCTCTCTCCATTTAATCTGACTCATTATTATTAGTTCTGCTCTTTCTAACGTGTTGGCATTTATCTTGGTTCTAGATCATCGGGGCTCTGGAGCAGGATGAGCAGGCGCGCCGGCAGCGCTTGGCATACAAAGTAGAACAGCTTATTGGTGCCATGTCTATGGAGAGCTGAAGAAAGGAGCAGGAACTCCTGGAACAAAGAGATGGAAGTAGTTGCCTCAAAAACTTCTGGGAACTGAGTAAAACCAGCAAGGAGGCTGCTGGGAACACACCTAAAGTACTGTGACAACCTCCACCGAGGAAGAGATGTTAGCCCAGATACGTAGCTCAAAATTCGATCATCAGATTTCAGCCAAAAGGACAGGAGAAAACCAGTAACAATGGCGCATCTAAAAAAGAAACCAGTTGGGTTTGCCAAGAAGTTGAGTTCCTCAAGTTGTACACCTAGAAAGGTTCTGGGAAGCCTAGATTCCTCCATGAGTGCTGCTTTGCATGAAAGTTGTTTGATGTATATTAGGAGATAACAAAAATGCTATTTAAAGTTTTGTTTTGTTTTTTAAAGAAAAAGGAAAGAGAGAAGAAAAAAAATGAAATGTAACAAAAACCGCAGTGGCCACATCAAATATCCCATTGAAAAAATTCCGCTGCATACACTGCCCCTCCCATCTCATGAGATCCCCGTTGTCTGTGGCTCAGATGGATGGTTCGCAAGTGGATTTTCACGCCTTTGGGAATGTTTGAAAAACTCCATTTATGCCTCTGCCTGGGAACTTACAGAAAGCCCCGCAAGCACAAATTTGCACCAAACCTTTCAAATAGTGCAGCTGGGGAAAGAAAGTCCAGCAGTCTGTATCTGCAAGAGGCACTTAGCAGAAATGTACCTGAGTGGAAAAGCCATCCAGTCCTTCAGCCCATCTGTCTTGAAATTCATCTTCAGCTGTGTATTTATAGAGTACAGATATTTTTTTAATACTCCTTATTTACCGTTGGAGGGGCATATGATTTTATGAAAGTCCTTCATTCCTCTTCTGCGTTGATACAAACCTTCTCCCTGTTGAAGAGATTCCTCCCTGTCTCTGTGTATTTGACAACTGTGTTCCTAAGGAATGTCCTGTCCGTTTTGAAGCTAAGGAAATTGTGAGTGGTTTAAACTGAAACTGGTGCATTGTGGGCTTCTGCAGGTGCAATTTGTGTAAAAACTAATTGGCTTTCTTAGTTGCTTGGGGTGTGGGTTGGTTAGCTTTTGGGTCGTTGTTTTCCTAGTCACTATGTGATTTCTTGCAGTAAAGGAAAAAATGTTTACAGCAAGTAATACTTGAACAACGTAGACCTAGTGAGGCAACATATTTATTGCTTTCCCACATTGGATTCGCTGGTGCTTATGCAATCAGGACAAATGGCATTTGCATTTTTTCCCCTCACACCATATGCAAGGTCATGCAAAGGTCAAGCATAAGACTTCTATGTCTAGTGGGAAGGGAGACAAAAGGAAATGGCACACTCTACATGCCTGTTAATGGCTGTTGTCTTTGTCTTTGTCCATGTGTCCTGTCTTGGGTTAGGTTTCTTAGCTGACCCTAACAGCCCATTTCTTAGTGATCAGTTGAAGGCTGGTGTCTGTGAGTTGTTGTTGTTGTTCCTTTTTTAAAAAAGAAAAAGACCAAAGCTTTCTTGTCCCTTTCGAGAGTGCCAAGTAGCAGGTGGGATGCTGTAAATATTTCTCTCTGTAATAAATATTGATATTTGTGCAGGCTGCAGCTAAGAAGGGTGACTGGGGCAAGACAATTAGGCCTAATGGAAGGCAAGATTATCGACCACACGGTTTCAGATCCCGTGACTGGAATCTGAGTCGGATTTGAGATAAGTAGAATGGTTCCCTCAAGCGAGGTCTAGGAAGAAGCTGGTTGTGACACCAGCATGTATGACCATTCTGACTGTGCCACCACCTCCCAAACTGTATAGCATTTTCAGCATAAGACAATTAAATGTCTAGGGTTTAAAACAGCTGCTCTTGATGGATTCAGTGGATACTATCGCCTGTCCGTTATAGGTTACCAGAGCACCAGTACTGTACTGGAAAACCTAAAGGTGTTTGGGGAGGAGTTGTCATGAAGTAACCATTTAGTAACTTTGTATAGCTGTTTGATGAAGGGAATTTTTAGAAAAAACAAGGGAGGAATTCAACATTGTGCTAAGCTGAAAATTTGCTCTCTTCCCCCTGCGTACTGTTCTGGGACACATACACACACACTGAATCAATTTTTGGGAGGATAGTGGCAAGCATGGGGAGGAGAGGGTTAAAGCCATGTTGCACAAGTGGAAGTCATTGTGCAGTGCTTCCACTGACAGGAGGAGTCATTAGGTGAATCCCCACCCCTACCCCAAAGGCTTTTGCTCCTAACTCACTTCTATAGCACCTATATATCTCAGCTATCTCCTGGGCCTATCCTTGCCACATCAGTCCAAAGCAGGATTTAGACTTCAGAAGCACTGGAAGGTACTATTATATGCATGAAGTGGGCTCCATGCAATTAGGAAGTGGGGTGGTGCTGGTGGCCCTACCCATGACATTGTGCACCTCCCTCCCCCCACGTTGAGCATGAACATCTGAATAGGGGGAGCCTATGTTTCTAGAGCTCTATGTGCATAGGCTTCCACAAGATATGGAATTCTGCATGAATGGGTTTCCAAATTGCGTGGAAGTGCACAGGCGTAGAACTGTCCGTTTGTAGGCTTCCTCTCTTCAGTTGTCCATACTCACTGGGTCAGGGAGGCTTGCAGTATCAGGGGAGGGACCACCTCAGCCCTCTTTCCTGTTTATTGAGTGGAGTCCTTTCATGAGCAGGCTCATACATTATTAAGATCCTGTTCACCATATGAGGAAGGAGCATCTTCTCTGGTAGAGCAGACACTTCTTGCCACTAAATGGCTTGGGCAGCCATGCCACTACCCCTATTTCCTATAGTGAGAGATGGAGCTGCTTCCACAGAAGGCTGAGGGTGAGTGGGTTGCACGTTAAATCCCTTACTCTGTGAGAATCCCCAATTTTTACTTTCTAATCATTATCCTGAATGCTGCCAGCAAAAGGATAAAGGAAAGGAGCAACTTGCTGCTTTAATTATAATTCATTAAAAGCTGTGCCAAGCCCACTTTCCCCCTGATAATTCACTTTCATAAGTTTCCCTGGGCCCTATTAATAGCCTGAAAGAAATACTAATGACTGACCTTGTGCAATAAGCCAAAGCCTTTGACATTCACAGCAGCCAAAGCTTTGCAGCCAGAAAGCTCTGATTTACATTGACTTGGCAGGAACAGGGACCAGGAGCCAAATGAATGGAGGCATCTCAGAAGAAGAAGGGCAGCTTGGTTTCCAGAGCGTTACCTCTGTACTGTCTGGCAGTGTGAGTTTGATTGCAAGAGCAGATTTGTCTCCTCTGTTCCTGAACTTAATTGTTAATGTTTAACAGCCAATTTTTGTTAAAAGAATTTCCACTTCACCCAATTACAGGTACTTCACAATTAGATCATGTTAGGTCTCCTTCAGTGCACTTTCATTTTTATTGGTTTTCACTTTTTACAGATGTTCTGTATGGGTGTACCTTCATCTTTCCAAACTGAGGCTGCAGTTTCTTGAGTATTTAATCAAAAGTAGAGGAAGAGGTAACTCACCCAGAGGTACTATCTAGAAGGGGTGGGTAACACTAGAGTTGCTGGTTTAGGTTGTGTAGCCATCTAGTGGCAAAATGCACATCAATTGGCTTGATCCTTTTGTTGTTAGCAGGTGTCAGGCATGCTGATTCAGGCACTGTCTGCAAGTGCCCCCTAACTATAAGCATTGCTTCCTACAGTTACACTTTTCCATTGTATACTGATGATCTCCACACACAGTTTTTAAGGCTGGAAGGGATCTCCTGTGTGGTATCATTTCTTCTAGTATTTTCTGCCCTCTGGCTGGATGAAATTTATCTAAAGCTGAACTGGGAATACAAGTCGTTCTCGAATTTCTGCTCCACAATTAAATAAATATGGGAACCAAACGGCTACCAAACAGTCCAGTTGTGGCTGCTTCATAGCCTGATTCATGGATGGCTTTAGTATGGTGGGGTAAGATTCAAATACTGTTTTCTTTGGACAGCAGCAGGATTTGAGCATTTAAAAGCCGTTGCATTTGCCTTAGGTGACATTCCCTATCTGTGTCAGTGACTCCTTCCCCTGATGTTTGAGTCCCAGCTTGCTCTGTTTCAGGTGTTTTCACATCAAAGCCAGAGACGTCATTTCTGGAATTTCTGTGCCTAGCACGGCCGTTTGAATAATTCCATTTAATCTTCCATTGATGAGTGCTATCCAGAGCCATCAAAGAGCCCACTGCAAGGGGTAGTGATGTGCTAATCAAATGCTTCTTTCCTTTGAAGGCCTTCGTTTTTTAAAAAAATAAAATAAAATTCCATCTAGTTAGCACACTTGCCTGTCCCTGCTGTAGTGGGGGGGTTTTTTCCCCCTCCCAGCACTAAAATTCTGCATCCGCATCACTTGCCAAAGCAATGGACCCTTCTGTCAGTAATAGGTTCCATGATCATTTAGAGTGTGGTAGAAGGGGTAAACAGCTAAAGTGCTACAGCTGTTCTGAGAAGAGCCTCTGGCTAAATTAACAATTTGTGTTGCAAAAATGTTTATAATTTAATTTATTTAAAACAGGTTTAGGTCACCTTAAAAGATAGAAACCCTCTCAAAGTGGTAACAACAAGGTAAAATCAAATACAGTACAGTCACAGTCTGAAAATACATAATAAAGGCCAGCAGTAGTTAAAAAACAACAACAATACCCGTCTGACCCAAAATTACACATATTGAACCAGGTACTGAACCATGAAACAGCCAAAGGAAATATCTCATGTAAAAGCCAGGTCTTTAATGTGCTCCAAAAAGCCTGTAACAATTAAGTCTTCCCAGTGGTGATGTATACCAGCAGTGTGGGGCCACTGCAGAAGAGGCTCTCTCCTAAGAAGGGTGGTTGGTGATCATAACATGTAGGCAGGCTGTTATGAATGAAAGTGGTCCTTTGGTTGACTCAGCCCCAAACTTTTTTAATGCTTTAAAAATTATAAACAGCACTTTAAATTGGGATCAGAAATGCACAGGCAGCCAGTTCAGCTGTTGCCATGTGTCACCTGAATTGACCACCTGGCTTCCACCAGAACTTGAGTAGTTACATTTTGCAGTAGCTGAAGTTTCTGAACTCTCTGCAAATGCAATCCTACAAACAACACAGATTCAACTAGTACACATATCTAGATGGGCTGCTGTGCCAACAGCTACCCTAAGCTGGCAAAGAGCATACCAACCCACCTAAGCTTCCCTATTTAGTGCCTATTTAGTGTGGACTTTGCTCTTAAAAGGGAGTGCAGCCCCATCTAAGCTCAGTTGTAAATCTCCTTCCAAAATAGTCTATTTCCCTATTTGTCGTACCTCCATGTTTTCTAGACTCAGTATCATTGTCATGGGCTGACATCATAAAGTAGGACTTTTTATCAAAGTGTCCTCCCATTCCTTGCGGTTAACAATATTTTGGGTCAAAAGAATGCCTGCCAGGGCAGCTCATTTCTGCCCTCTGCCAAAGTGGTAGAAGGGCTCCCAGACCCCTTTAGCAGCAGATACTTTGCTAGAATGGTCCCACTTACTCATTTGAGTTTACTTCAGTTTAAGTGAAATCATTTGTCATCATAGTCTAGATGAACTGCCCCAAAATTTCATCAGCCTAACAAAGGGGCCAAAGTTTTGATATATCATTTGTGCATCTCAGTGCAGTGTCTCTTCTCTTAAACTTTTCCTCCCACCCAAACACAAGAGCTGCTGGTACTGTGCTTCAGTTCTTCTCCAAGTAGTCCTGTTTGTTCACCTAAGCTGCGTAGTGTGTGGATGAATGGAACTCATCTGCAACCATTCCAGTTAGAGGAAGACAACGTCATGGGATGCCTCCAGTGTGCAAATGTTGCCATAATGGAAAGGCATAGTGGCATGTGTTTTGTTGCTCTTGCCTGCCATGCTCTACACCTGGATGAAGGACTGAGAACATCCCCGGAAGGCTCCAGTTTGAGAGAACTCTTATTTCAACTTGCGTAAGAATGAGAGCAGTTCCCATTAGCATCGCCAGGTGCTGTGACTTCCCCTTCAGCCCTCCTTTTAGGCTCCAGTATTATCTACAGTCACCTGTCAATGGGAGTCAGTTCAACAGGCAAAATGAAACAAAAATAGCCTGACCTGATTAAGCTTTGGGGGAGGAGAGAGAAGCTGAGTGGAGACTCAACCCTGGTGAAAAAGGACACAGCAGCAGGAGCAGTTGGAGAAGAATAAATACCCAACATGAAAGAGCCATTTAAACTCCAGCAGAGCTAGAGTTTATCAGATTTCAGCATTCCATTTGTACTATAAACCACAAGCCAGTGACAATACAGAGAGATGCTAACTGTATATGTTTACTTGCTAGTGAGCAGTCTGATCTTCTAAATAATAAATGTGTTTCCAGAGATAACTTCTCTCTCTTCCCCCAGTTAGTTCTGGTTCCCATTAACTGTTACCCATCTGTCCAAGATCCCATCCAGTGAGCACAGCAGTGGGAGCTAAGTGAAAAATATTCAAGAGACATGCATCGTTTTTCAAGATGCTAACTGAATTTTCCAAAACTATCAACAATAAACAGATCTCCCTCCTTTTGTATCTGTGTGTGATGACTACCAATCAACCTCATACCTTGCCAGTGTAATGCAGATAAGGCACCTTACCTTTGTAGACAGGGATATGTATCAAGGGATGTTAATTTGAGTTCAATGCATTAGCCTACTCTTCTGAAAGAAATCATAGCCCGTAAACAGATGTGCTAAGGAAAGGCCACAATCTAAATGCAGGTCATTCAGTTTTAGAAGATTTTTTTAAAAAAAAATGTTTTAAAATTGAAACACCTTTTGAATGTATTTCCTTTTGAAAGACTTCATTGGAATTTAAAAAATGGTTCTGTGGAATTCCAGTAAAATATGTCCCTGAAGGATTTTGTAGTGTTTTGAAATATTCTTGAGATCTTCTGTGACTTTCCTCCCCCCCTTTCCAAATGTACATCTTCACTTAGTATATATAACTAGCAGTATCTCACAATACTAGGAAATGAGAAGAAGCATGAGTCAGCCATTCTTTCTCTTTTTGGACTTCTTATGTCACTTGCAAATAGGGATCTTTTTCCCCAGTTCTCTCAGAGTGAGAAGAATGAGCTAGGAATCAGGTATCTCACCAGAAGAGAGATTGCAAATTTTCCCTTGATACATTACATCAGAAGTGCAAAAAAGAAAGTGCACTCATTTTTCCTCCTAAAGCATGGGTAGGCAAACTAAGGCCCAGGGGCCGGATCCGGCCCAATCGCCTTCTAAATCCAGCCTGGTGGACAGTCTGGGAATCAGCGTGTTTTTACATGAGTAGAATATGTCATTTTATTTAAAATGCATCTCTGAGTTATGTGTGGGGCTTGCCTGGTGTTTCTACATGAGTAGAAGGTGTGTTTTTATTTAAAATGCATCTCTGGGTTATTTATGGGGCATAGGAATACATTCATTCCCCCCCCAAAAAAAAAATATAGTCTGGCCCCCCACAAGGTCTGAGGGACAGTGGACCGGCCCCCTGCTGGAAAAGTTTTCTGACCCCTGTCCTAAAGCCATCCTGGGAACCATAAGCAGTGTTTCCAGACAAATTGAGGATACAAATGAACTCCAGAACCCTGTGTAATCATTTATGCCTCTGTAAGCCAGGGATGGTGAACAAGTCACCCTCTAGCAGTTGTTGAACTTCAGCCGCAGCCAGCATGGCTGATGGTCAGAGATGACGGGAGCAGTAGTTCAACAACCTCTGGAGGGCCACAGCTTCCACAGCCCTGCTGTAAACAATTTTCAGATCTGGTGACCATCTTGAAGGGATTTCATAAGGAATCAATGTAGAGAGCTCCCCCCATAACATTTCAAGGCTCTGTGGTACATCTGTATCCTTACCTCAGATGCAGGCAGGGAGAGAATCTGCCTAGATGCTGTGTTCAGCTCCTATTAGCAACAAACACAGCATCAGGAAAATTTGAAGAACATAACGCAATTCATCTCATCTAGTCATTTGAGACTGCCATTGTTTTTCAACATATGGAATCAATCAGGTCACGTAACTGAAACACAGTTTGTTTTCAATGTGGTTAATGCTTAGGTGTCTGTGTTTGTCTATTGTTTTTGACCAGAATTTCTCTTTTATGTTGTCTGTGTTTTGCCTTCTTGTCTGTGTATTTCCCCTCTTCGCAGATGAAACCTGATGAGGGTCTGAGTCTGAAAAATACATTTATACCAATAAACAAGCAGAAGTGTGGACACTTTAAACCTTCCATATCTTTTGTTTTGTCTTGTTACAAGGCATGTGGTGCTTCATTCAGAGAAGTCAGCAAAATTTTTAAACCAACTTTTCATATGGTTGTTTTTTTAAAACCATGTTGTTGGCCAAAAATGGACGCTTTTTTAATAGGATACTACAAAATTGGGGAGGGGGAGATACCAAAATACACTTGACAACTTGTTCATAAGTAAAAAGGGAACTTTGGTACCTGTCAGTTTTAATTCTCCAAAATTTAGTACCATTTCTGAAAAGTAAAAATAGTTGGCATTTCAAAATTTGCTGTCAACATTCTGCTTAGATAATGTCCCAGTGATCTTGGAACAAGATATTGGAAGGTTTACAGGGACCGTACTTTGCACAAACAGTTTCTGAAATGGTGCTTTTGTTTTGAAATGTTCAAAACACTTTCTAGATTTATTGTGAGCATGATATAGGTCTTGTCCATAAGCTTTCATTGTGCCTGACAGCAGGATGGGGGTTATTTACAACCAAGTATGTTCGGATAGCACTGGCGGCCGAATCCACCGAGCAGCTCCTACCAAGCCTTGTTAAAATGGATGGGGGCCCTGACGATGCCATGCTCGGTGGATTCCTTTCCCGTGTTGTGCTACAAGGAATCTTTATTCCCATTTGATGTTTCGTTCTGTAGCTGCACTAATATCAAAAATAATAATAGAGAGGACCCAAATCTTGTGGAATTAATCTGGTGGGATTTCTAATAATGATCCAGTTGAGTACTGTAAGGAAGATTTGAGGTGGCATGAGAAAGGGCTTCTATTTAATTTGTCCCATTCCTGGAACTGAATTGCTGCAGCAGTCTGGTAAGGCTGTTGGACTGCATAGCCTACATGTACCCACTCTACACTACCCTAAACATTTTCTCATCCTCTTCCTCCTCCTTTATACTTGACACACTGGAGTTCTGTATTATATATTTTTTTTTAAGATGGTTGTCTGGTTTTTGTTGTTTTTACAAGTGTTGTGGGGGGGAATGTAAGAAAGCTGAAGTATTTAAAAAAATGTTCCAAGGGGAAAAAAGGTTTTTGTTATTCTAATATATTATTGTGTACCTATTGTAAATATGAAACACTCCTATTTTGCAATCCAAGGACTCACTTTGTACTGTTGTTATATATAAATAAAGTTTACTGGATAAAAATATCTGTATCTTGTTCCTGAGCGAGCTTGGCTTGGGATAGGTAGGATTTACTACTGCTTGCACTTGCTAAACCAGTGAGGGATATTTACTTGCTGTGTTGCACCAGTAATAAATCAGTAACGGGAGATGCGAAACGAAATATTTAATCTCCAATTTATTTTTGCAGCATGCCAACCACTTAAAACTCAAGAGGCTGAAGAAGAAGGAGGTTAAACACTGCCATCTAGCTACATGTACTGATTTTTTTTTCCTTAACAAAGAAACATTTTCCCCAGCAATAACTGTTTTCTAAAAAAAAAAAAAGTCATACTATTGAGAAATACTTGTGAGTGTCAAATAATTAAGAGTGAGGAAATACTTTTTAGGTTGTGGAGTGATAATGGGGGAGATTTTGTTTTCTGTGCTGACTCTCCTTTTAGGGTATGGGCACATTCATTTGTACCTGTCCTGCTGTATGATCTTGAGGAGGACATTTCCACGATATCTCTCCTCCTATAGTCAAAGAATATACATCTTCACATTTAGCCTTTTATAGCAAGAGACTTGTGTTTTAATTCACACCCTGATCAGATTCCAAATTCTCTATGGCATATATACGCTTCCTTCTCTAAATGAGGAGCTGCATGCACTCCTCATTTAGAGAATGGGTGTTGCATAGAAGGCTTATAGGCCTATGTAGGTGCAGAGCAGGTCAGAAAATCAGCAATAACCTGAACAGCTGGATAACATCACCGGTTATCTGGTGCAACATGTGAGTATCTGCAAGTGTGCACATATGATGCTGGGTGGTGTTGCTAGTGTGTTTGGTGATTTTCTTGGAAGCTATCCCCGTCCCCCTTATTGGTTCATCCAGAGAAATCTGGTCCTGCATGTAACTTGGCATCATTTATAATTGTCAAAGGCATAATCTTCAAGGCAAGACATTGAATGAGCTGCTTGATTAAGCTGAGTACTTAAGATCAGGTTTCCAAGAGAATTTAGTATTCATTTGACTATTTGTTGACTATTCCGTCAATCCTGTTGCTTGTTCTATACATTCTATGGGACTTCCAATTAGCATGCAAAATCATCTTCATGTTGAAACAGTGAGTGATGCCACCTCAGTAACATATTACTTCTCTCCATGTGATACCAGTGCCTCTCATGGAGAGTACCCACAACCAAGCTCTCCAAGTCTATACAATTAAGTCAGGATCATACAGAGAGTGGTGTTACATGATGCATGTTATGGAAAAGACACCAAGCAGATGCTGTTTCAAGTGACCTCTGAACAATGGTCATAACATGTACACAGATCCTTTAATTATAAATTTTGGCGTGTAAGATCGCCACCAAGACAGTTGTGAGCTGGCATTCTTCACTGAGCTGTTTCCCCCTGCTCACATTGTGTATTAGATTACATATATTCAGTGGCGTAGCGTGGGGGGTGCAGGGGGGCCGGCCGCACCGGGCGCAACATCGGGGGGGGCGCTCGCCGCCTCCGGAGTCGCCGAAGAGCCTCGGGCGCAGGTTGTAGCAGAGCCCTATGTCTCGCGGAACCGACGAGCTGGCAGCGGCTCTCAGCGCTCGCCGCGGTCCCCGCGCGTCAGGGCCGCGGAGGGCGCACCAGGCAGCCCCTCCTCACAGCCCCGCCGCCGCCACTGCTGCTGCAGCTGCTGGGCCATGTTGCATTTTCCTCGCCTCTCTGCCCTCCTCCTCCTCCGGGCAAGCGGCGTCGTTTGGGCGCCAGCGCCAGCGGCAACTTGCCTCAGATCACCTGACATGGACCCGCCACCGCCGCTGTGGCTACCTTATCATAAATACCCCAGCCCAGGCAGCAGCAAGAATAAGCTGGCAGCGGCGGCAGGTTAGGGGTTAGGGGGCGCAAATTACTTGCCTTGCCCCGGGTGCTGACAACCCACGCTACGCCGCTGCATATATTTACTTTCTCTAAATTATTAAGCAGGAAGCAGTAATCAGAAGGAACTATTGATGGATGCTGGG